ACTTCGCGGCTGAGCCATTGGTGCACCTAGACCGGGTTTCAAGTCAAATGGACGAGGCCAATACTGACCAGCAGGCCGGACTGTTCGAATTTCAGAAATTTTAAATGACGCTGTGGCTGTGAACCTATTGAACTAGACCACCTAACAAATTATTCCAATTGACAATAAATAAGCAATATTTTCTTAGGGCTCTGTCAGTAATCTTTAATTTTCAACAGACACAGACAAATTCCTTTATATAAAATCCCATACAACATAATGAAAGAAACCGTTATTCAGCACCACATAGCCTATATTTTCTATTTTACAAAGTGGCTAAATTTACTTCAAAAAAAAACAATATGCAATTTCTACCACTAACTGAAATTTTTTAATATATGGTTGAAATACAATAAAATAAAGTGCAAAAATCTATTAATCAAAAACAACACTTTGTTTAAGGAGAAGTAACATGCAGTGAAAACAAATATTAAACTTTAACTTTTAAACTTGAACTGAGTAAAAACTCTAAATATGTGATTGCACAGTAATGTTCACTTGTTTGAGGTTGAGGGTGATACTTGGTGGTGTCCCATCTTTTCCACAAGTTCATCAATGTTCGGGGTAAGGCTCTGAGCTGAGGAAATCCTCAGAATTGAGTGGAGGTGTTCAGCAGTAAGTCGACTTCTGTGTGATGTTTTGTTCAGGTTCATCAAAGAAAACAGTTGTTCACACAGGTATGTGCTGCCAAACATAGACAACGTTTGAGCAGCCTGGATGCGCAGCTGGGGCATTGTGTCGGGGAGGAAACGGGCGAACTCCGCAGCACCCACTGCCGCATATTTTGCCCTCAGTGCATCATTGCATTGGAGGTCAATCAACTCCATTTGGAGGTTTGGTGGTGAGCTTTCACGTCAACAGCAATGGGTTACCGAGCAGTTCCAACCTGACCTGCTTTTTGTGTCTCACGTCAGAAAATCGGCGTCGAAAGTCAGCGGCAATCATAATATTTTACAGCAACTGTGCGCTCGGGAACGCACTGGTAGAGACTTCTCTTTCATGTTCCTGGCAGCTGGGAAAGTGGCTTTAAATTTTCTTTCCTCATCTGCGGCCTTCCCACAGAGTCAGTTGGGTTTTAAAAAATTCCTCACTGTACTGTACATATCAGATATGAACATGATCCCGACCCTGCAGCTGCAAGTTCATTGCATTCAGATGACGCTTAATGTCACACAGAACGCCATTTCACTTCCACAGAAACATTTCGTCGTCTCGGAGTTGTGTTGTGTCTTCCCTTTGCTGTCTCAAGAACCGACAAAGCTCCCTCACGAAGCTCGAAACATCTTTGAAGCAACCTTTCCCTGGCTACCATCGCAACCTCTGTGTGATAAGGCAAATCACCATGCTCCGTGTCTTTTCTAACTCCGTCAGAAATGCCTTGAACTGGCGGTGATTCAAAACCTTTGGCTCTGATAAAGTTAACTGTGCGCGTGATGATGCTCATTACATGCTCCATTTTCAAGGCTTTAACCGCACAACGCTTCCTGGTGTATGATACAATGATAAGCTGTCAGCTCACCTGTCGCGTTTTCCTCTTGCATCTTTTCCCGTATCTTGACGCATATAGTATTGGTGCGTGTAAAAGATCTGCGGGCTGCCGGCTTGCTGCGGTCTGCGGGCCGGTTCTAATAATAAATCAAGATCATCCCAGGGGCCGTAAAAAACCTTCTCGCGGGCCGGATGTGGCCCGCGGGCCTTGACTCTGACATATGTGACCTAGACGTTTCCACTTCACAATAACAGCACTTACAGTTGACCGGGGCAGCTCTAGCAGGGCAGAAATTTGACGAACATCCTACGACGCTGCCACGTTGAAAGTCATGTAGTGTATAATACAGTGGAGACATTACTTCACTTATCCAATGACATACAGATTAGTTAGACTTAGGGTACTTCCAGAAAGGTAGGAAGGAGTTAACCAATCACTTTTTGAGAGCTGTCTCATTTTGCTCACGTCGAGTCATTAATTGCGCACCACACAAGCTCTGATCATTTAGTCATCACTAGATATGTCATAATGCTCCATTCCACCTTCCACTGCTTTGATGGTCGCTGGGCTAGGCCATATTGGCCCCCTCTCTCTCTGGACTTGCAGGCTGGGTGATTGGTTTGTGTGATTGCATGCAGCCAGGCGGTCTGGTTAAGTGGTGTGTGTGTTAGGGTAGCTGTTCTCACTCATGCGGATGAGGAGTGTAATTCAGTGGGAGAGGCAAAGTGCTGAGTGGGCTGGGCCTGGTTGGGTTGGACTGCCTGGGGAAGGTCACAGCGCTCCCTGTCAGTGACAAACCCTCTGTACTCTACTCTAACACCCACTCACTGGCCTTACGCTCCACTGTGCCTGAACGGAATGGAGACACACACACACACTCTTCCTCTGTCTCACACACTCATACTCACCCACACAGACTTGCGCTGTCATACACATACGCACACGCATACACACTCACATTGTCACACACACAAATTCTCTCACACTAATATTATTTCTTTCTCTCTCTCTCACACACACACACAGACACACTGACACACACACACAGACACACACTCCTATACACACTCGTCTCCCAGACAGCGGAGCCCTGCAGTGTGAGGGGGACAGTCAGTGTGGTTGTGGTTCATCTAGCTGCACAGCTCCTCATTACCTTTAATTAACTCCTCATTAATCACCCACTCAGCACTATCTTATTCTTATCACTGGGCGGCAGACATCTCTCTGTCATTACAGACTCCATTCAGATTTCCCTTATTTTTTTGTATTTATTTTTTTGTCAGTTGTCCATATAAAAAGATTGGTTATATCTGTGGTAGTTTTTTTTTCTCCTCTCTGCAGATAGTATCCCTCCGCCATGTGATGAGGCTGGTGGATGTGGTTCGCTCCCCCAGCTGGCCTCCTTCTCTGAGCTCAACCTTGTGCTCCCCTCTGACTCCGTCACACACAGACACTCACCACAGACACCAGTGATTTCAGGCCTCTACTGATTATTCTACTGATTTAACCTTTATTTAAACCACAAGAATCTCTTTATTTTGAAAACCTATTTTACGAGAGAGACCTGGCTAGAAACTGATGACAATTTCTGTTTACTAAAGACATGGGATGAGGAGGAGAGTTAGGGTGGGAGATGCACCCTGATGCGCCCACTCTATTGTCAGACAGTGAAGACAAAACTGACTGATTGCTACAACATAGAAAACGTATAATTGATGGTGATTATTGGTATGTTATTAATCACTGTTAATTCTTTGCTTTCTGCCCTGCATGTTTCATATAGTGATTTCCACTGGCTCTGAGGTGGGGGAGAATGAAAGGGAGAGGAGGAGAGGAAGGCACTTCCAGCAGGTGTGCCACTACTGGCACAAAGATCTTCTCCTCACACACTGGCTTTACCGCCTTTCGCCCGGTAGGTGGCACCACATCCACTGTCAGACAGCTAAGAGTCACTGGCCCAGTAGGTGGCACCACATCCACTGTCAGACAGCTAAGAGTCACTGGCCCAGTAGGTGGCACCACATCCACTGTCAGACAGGTAAGAGTCACTGGCTGTGTCCGAAATCTGTCTTGCCTACTACTTACTAAAACTACATACTGCGTACTAGTAGTACTACATACTATTTAGAATGTACTGTTTAGTAAAAACGTATGCATTAAGCAACAAATATCAACACACTTCTCATTCATACAGAGAAGGCATCATCTAATGCACAATACCGCTTGTTCCCCACCATTTGTTCATTGTTGTCAAACACATGTGAGTGTGAAACGACGAATTCTCTTCCTCAATGGTGTGCAGCGAATTCTACTTGATGAAAATCCGGAATGACTATGACATCCAGGCATTTCAAGAATAATACATTTTCAATAATTCACATCGCCTACTATAAACCATTCTATTTTCGTATACCCCAAAAAGCCTACTATTTAGAACGCAAGTAGCATATGGGTATTCGGACACTGGCTGCCTCACAAATGACATTACACCCTATTATTCCCCTTATGGTGCACTTTAAAATGACTGAGGATAATTTAGGATTATTATGAAATCATACTATGACATAAGGATGTCATATGTGCTCATGACAAGTCTTACATTACTGTATCATAATGCATTGTATATTTTGCACAGCAAATGAGGGACGCATAAACTGGAGTGTATCTGTGAATCGACTTTGCTCTCTCTGAATCAGCTGGCTGTCAGTCAAGTGGAGGTGGGTAGGTTTGGCCAATCAGCACAGCCAATTCGGAACCCCTCACACACCAACAGGACACACCCCTCTTCCCCACAAAAACACACCATCAAAGTAGTGAAGTAAACTCACACACGCACATGCACATAGCTTGTGTATACCTCTGTACACACGCTATGTACACTATGCACCTCACACACAAACAAAACTACAGCTATAACATTTGTTTTGCTGACATTTCAGATGAATATACCTGACAAATTAAACATGCATAGCTAAAATGTTGTGTGCAGGAATAATTTGATCCAATAACATTACAAGTATCTTGTGGGTATGAACAATCTAAAACATATATTTCTAATGTTCTACTATAAATGTGAACATTTCCAGGAAAAGGGTTGTAAGGTTTCCAGAATTTCACAACCCTGCACACACACAAACCTCCTGACAAGGTGGCAATATATAAACGAAGAAGTGTGCTTGGAAAAGGGGAAGTTTTTATTCCTGGCTCATTATATACAGGAATTACACTTAATTACAGTAACGTAGACTCGAGTTTCACAACCCTGCACACACATACAATGTTATCAAGAGAGTTAAGAGTTCGTTACAGGAATATCTACATAGCTTTGAGCGACGTAGTCCTCTCTGTTGCCAGCCCCCTTTATAACACTGGGTGTGGGACAGTATAAAGAGGGGTACTCGAGCCACGCAGGACATTCAGTTCTTTAAGACTAAACAGAACGTTCAAGTCTTTTGCAGAATATATAATAAGAATGAAGGGAGTTCTAGCCCTGCTACTGCTGTCTCTGTGCTGCTGCCTGTCTGGGGGAGTGGGTGATCATGGGGACAGTGAGGGGTACCAGGGGACCGGGGCTAGTCTAGCCGGCTGTCTGCCCGACACCTGCACCCTGTTCAGGGAACTGGCAGCCATGAAAGAGAGACTAGGAACCATGGACCAGACACAGGCTGCCCTGAAGGAAAGTTTAGGGGCCATGGGACAGAAACTAGGAGCTGTTGAGACCAAGCTACAGGCCAGTGAGAGTCAGGTGGAGGAGCTGAAGAAAGTGAATACAGGTAAGTAGCACAGAGGTGTAACAATCAAAGCGTTCTGTGAAGTGTTATACAGCTTCATGCACTTATTCTTATTTCATTTATTTGAACTTTGTCTTATTGATTACTATTTGTTGAGCATTTACTGCACTGTAAGATTGAGGTTTTGTTATTAAATCTGTGCTGTTATTTCAGCTCAAGAGGAAGAACTGAAAGCCTTGAAGAAGAGCTTATCAGCTGGTAAGAGCAAGGTTCCACTCTTCCTCAAAGTGGCATCTATCTATTTATGTCCTTCTTGATATCTACTTGATCGTTCGTTCATTCAATCATTAACTCATTAACTAATGAATTCATTCATTCATTCCCCAGCCCAGCCAAAGGTGGCCTTCTCTGTAGCTCTCAGAGACTCTGGCGGTGGGATCATTGGACCCTTCAGCACCAATACCCCTTTACAGTACAAAAGAGTCTTCTCCAACACCGGCAGCAGCTACAATCCTGCTACAGGTAGTGTGTGTGTGTGTGTGTGTGTGTGTGTGTGTGTGTGTGTGCGTGCGTGCGTGCATGCTCTCGTATACGTGTTTGCGTTGTCAATCAGGTAAAATTATTTATCTTCCTTCATAGGCATCTTCACAGCCATGGTCAGAGGGATGTACTGCTTCCGCTACTCCATGTACAGCAACAACTCTGGCCGTCCCAACTCTGTCGTGTCTCTGATGAAGAACAGTGAGAAGCTGGTTACTACATGGAACACTGATGACAGTATGAATGTCCACGAAAGCGCTAGCAACGCAGCAGTAGTGCAGTTGGAGGTGGGAGACAGTGTTTACATCCAGCTCTGGGCTAGCAGGGTTGTCTATGATGACATAAATAACTATAACACCTTTACTGGGTTCCTACTGTTCACAGTGTAACAAGACCAGTTGATTTAACTGAGCTTTTGTAAAGATTAGAATTGATTGACAATATATTAATTTGGCCATACAGTATAGGTTTTTAAAACTGTAAAAACATCAGAAGTGTATAAAAATGAAACTAAATAAAAGTTAATTGGCTTACTGTATTTTATCTGGTGGCTTTCTGGCCCCTTCCTAACTAATGTGTTGAAGCAGATCTATTTGGATCTGTAAATTGCTCCTGAAGCCACTAGCTAGGGTGTTACCTAATGTCATGTTATGACAGGGTATTAGTGTGCTGCTGGTCCCTGGGCTGTGACAGTCTGTTGACACCATGGAAATCCTGTGGGCTGAGCTGCTCGCTGCTGCTGCCAGAGAGCCTGAATCAACGGCACAACGTTTAAACAACAGGCCCGCTGCGGCCAAGGCCATTGTCTTACCTTCGTACTGACGTCATGTGTATCCCTGTGGATGTGTGTGTCCTGTGGATGTGTGTACACAAATCATACATCACCACAGAGGAGCCATAACGACAAGCTGCAGGAACACTGAATACATACAGTCGCTAGTGAAAGTCTACACACCCCTTACACAGTCTTCATATTTTGCTACCTTCAAAATATTATTATTATTATTTATTTTTTTCACCTTTATTTAACCAGGTAAGCCAGTTGAGAACAAGTTCTCATTTACAACTGTGACCTGGCCAAGATAAAGCAAAGCTGTCACGATCGTCGTAAGCAACGGACCAAGGCGCAGCGTGATATGCGTACATCTTTTAATGAGTACTTCAAACACGAACAACAAAACAACAAAACGATACGTGAAGTCCTAAGGTTAACAAACACAAACCTCTCCGGAACAAGATCCCACAAATGACAAGTGCAAAACAGGCTGCCTAAGTATGGTTCCCAATCAGAGACAACAAGCCACAGCTGCCTCTGGTTGGGAACCACCCCGGCCAACATAGAAACACATGAACTAGAACATGAACATAGAACACTAAACATAGAAACTAACACCCTGGCTCAACATATAAGAGTCCCCAGAGCCAGGGCGTGACAGTACCCCCCCCCCCAAAGGCGCGGACTGCGACCGCGCCAACTAAACCCAACTAAATTCCGCCTCGGAAGCTACCCCCCCGTAGCGCACCTGGTCTGGTCTGGCCCCGCTGGCTGGAGCTGGACTGGACATCGGTGGAGCGGATTGCTTAGGCTCCGGTGTGGAGCAGCTGACCGGTACCTGACCAGGCACCGGTGGAACAGGCACGGGCTGTGCCAGACTGACGACACGCACCACTGGCTTGGTGCGGGGAGCAGGAACAGGCCGGACCGGGCTGGCGACGCGCACCACTGGCTTGGTGCGGGGAGCAGGAACAGGCCGGACCGGGCTGGCGACGCGCACCACTGGCTTGGTGCGGGGAGCAGGAACAGGCCGGACCGGGCTGGCGACGCGCACCACTGGCTTGGTGCGGGGAGCAGGAACAGGCCGGACCGGGCTGGTGACGCGCACCACTGGCTTGGTGCGGGGAGCAGGAACAGGCCGGGCCGGGCTGGCGACGCGCACCACAGGCTTGGTGTGAGGGGCAGGAACAGGTCGGGCTGGGCTGGCGACGCGCACCACAGGCTTGGTGCGAGGGGCAGGAACAGGCCGGGCCGGCGACGCGCACCACAGGCTTGGTGCGAGGGGCAGGAACAGGCCGGGCCGGGCTGGCGATGCGCACCACTGGCTTGGTGCGAGGGGCAGGAACAGGCCGGGCCGGGCTGGCGACGCGCACCACTGGCTTGGTGCGAGGGGCAGGAACAGGCCGGGCCGGGCTGGCGACGCGCACCACTGGCTTGGTGCGAGGGGCAGGAACAGGCCGGGCTGGGCTGGCGACGCGCACCACTGGCTTGGTGCGAGGGGCAGGAACGGGTCGGGCCGGACTGGGAACACGCACCACTAACTTAGTGCGGGGAGCAGGAACGGGTCAGGCCGTACTGGGAACACGCACCACTAACTTAGTGCGGGGAGCAGGAACGGGTCGGGCCGTACTGGGAACACGCACCACTAACTTAGTGCGGGGAGCAGGAACGGGTCGGGCCGGACTGGGAACATGCACCACTAACTTAGTGCGGGGAGCAGGAACGGGTCGGGCCGGACTGGGAACACGCACCACTGGCCTTGTGCGGGAAGCATGAACGGGTCGGGCCGTACTGGGAACACGCACCACTAACTTAGTGCGGGGATCAGGAACGGGCCGGACCGGACTGGTGACACACACCACTTGCTTAGTGCGAGGAGCGGGACTGGGTTTCCTCATAAACCTCCGCTCCCTCTGCTGCCTAACCAGTTCCTCTACACTCTCCTTCTCCCTTATCGCCTCCAGTAGCTCCTCCCTCTGACCAACTAACTCCTGCTCCCTCATGACCAATAGCCCCCGTAACCTGGTGGCCTCCTCTCCTATTCTACCGATACGTCCTGTAGCTGCCTCCAGCATCCCCGTCGTCCATGCCGTGTGCCCCCCCCAAAAACATTATTGGGGTTGCCTCTCGTCTGTCCGACGACGACCCGGTTGGCGCCGCTTCTCCTCTCCTGCCTGGACATCCTCCCTCATCGCCCTCCGGTAGCGGACGGCCTCCTCCTCGGTGATCTTCCCCCAACCGAGGAGGACATCCACTAGCGTTACCTCCGGCGTTTGCTCCTGGACACGCTGCTTGGTCCTTAATTGGTGGGATCTTCTGTCACGATAGTCGTAAGCAACAGATCAAGGCGCAGCGTGATATGCGTACATCTTTTAATGAGTACTTCAAACACGAACAACAAAACGATACGTGAAGTCCTAAGGTTAACAAACACAAACCTCTCCGGAACAAGATCCCACAAATGACAAGTGCAAAACAGGCTGCCTAAGTATGGTTCCCAATCAGAGACAACAAGCCACAGCTGCCTCTGATTGGGAACCACCCCGGCCAACATAGAAACAGAAGAACTAGAACATGAACATAGAACACTAAACATAGAAACTAACACCCTGGCTCAACATATAAGAGTCCCCAGAGCCAGGGCGTGACAAAAGCAGTGCGATTAAAACTACAACAAGACAGAGTTACACATGGGATAAAACAAAACATACAGTCAATAACACAATAGAAAATATATATACAGTGTGTGCAAATGTAGTAAGTTTTGGAGGTAAGGCAATAAATAGGCCATAGTGCTAAATAATTACAATTTCATATTAACACTGGAGTGATAGATGTGCAGAAGAAGATACTGGGGTGCAAATGAGCAAAATAAATAACAATATGGGGATGAGGTAGTTGGGTGGGCTAATTACAGATGGGCTGTGTACAGGTGCAGTGATCGGTAAGCTGCTCTGACAACTGATGCTTAAAGTCAGTGAGGGAGATAAGAGTCTCCAGTTTCAGAGATTTTTGCAATTTGTTCCAATCATTAGCAACAGAGAACTGGAAGGAATGGCGGCCAAAGGAGGTGTTGGCTTTGGGGATGACCAGTGAGATATACTTGCTGGAGCGCATTCTACGGGTGGGTGTTGCTATAGTGACCAATGAGCTAAGATAAGGCGGGAATTTGCCTAGCAGTGATTTATAGATGACCTGGAGCCAGTGGGTTTGGCGACGAATATGTAGTGAGGGCCAGCCAACGAGAGCGTACAGGTCACAATGGTGGGTAGTATATGGGGCTTTGGTGACAAAACGGATGGCATTGTGATAGACTACATCCAATTTGCTGAGTAGAGTGTTGGAGGCTATTTTGTAAATGACATCGCCGAAGTCAAGGATCGGTAGGATAGTCAGTTTTACGAGGGCATGTTTGGCAGCATGAGTGAATTAGGCTTTTTTGCGAAATAGGAAGCCGATTCTAGATTTCACTTTGGATTGGAGATGCTTAATGTGAGTCTGGAAGGAGAGTTTACGGTCTAACCAGACACCTAGGTATTTGTAGTCAGACCCGCCGAGAGTAGTGATTCTAGTCGGGCAGGCAGGTGCAAGCAGCGTTCGATTGAAGAGCATGCATTTAGTTTTACTAGCATTTAAGAGCAGTTGGAGGCTACGGAAGGAGTGTTGTATGGCATTGAAGCTTGTTTGGAGGTTTGTTAACACAGTGTCCAATGAAGGGCCAGATGTATACAAAATGGTGTCGTCTGCGTAGAGGTGGATCTGAGAGTAGCCAGCAGCAAAAACGACATTGTTGCTATACACAGAGAATAGAGTCGGCCCGAGAATTGAACCCTGTGGCACCCCCATAGAGACTGCCAGAGGTCCAGACAACAGGCCCTCCGATTTGACACATTGAACTCTATCTGAGAAGTAGTTGGTGAACCAGGCGAGGCAGTCATTTGAGAAACCAAGGCTATTTAGTCTGCCAATAAGAATGCGGTGATTGACAGAGTCGAAAGCCTTGGCTAGGTCGATGAAGACGGCTGCACAGTACTGTTTTTTATCGATCACGGTTATATAATATCGTTTAGGACCTTTAGCCTGGCTGAGGTGTACCCATGACCAGCTCGGACACCAGATTGCATAGCGGAGAACTGGTGGCCGGAGTAGGGGTAGCCAGGTGGGAAAGCATGGCCAGCCGTAGCAAAATGCTTATTGAAATTCTTGATTATCGTAGATTTATCGGTGGTGACAGTGTTTTCTAGCCTCAGTGCAGTGGGCAGCTGGGAGGAGGTGCTCTTATTGTCCATGGACTTTACAGTGTCCCAAAACTTTTTGGAGTTAGTGCTACAGGATGCACATTTCTGTTTGAAAAAGCTAGCCTTTGCTTTCCTAACTGCTTGTGTATATTGGTTCCTGACTTCCCTGAAAAGTTGCATATCGCGGGGGCTGTTCAATGCTAATGCAGTATGCCACAGGATGTTTTTGTGCTGGTCAAGGGCAGTCAAGTCTGGGGTGAACCAGGGGCTATATCTGTTCTTAGTTCAGAATTTTTTGAATGGGGCATGCTTATTTAAGATGGAGAGGAAAGCACTTTTAAAGAACAACCAGGCATCCTCTACTGACGGAATGAGGTCAATATCCATCCAGGATACCCGGGCCAGGTCAATTAGAAAGGCCTGCTCGCTGAAGTGTTTTAGGGAGCGTTTGACAGTGATGAGGGATGGTCGTTTGACCGCGGACCAATTACGGACGCAGGCAATGAGGCAGTGATC